GTCGACTACATGGGAGTCCAGTTACATAGCCATTACACTAACTGCTGGCTTCCAAAGTCTGTGAAATCTTTACATAACCAAACAAGATTGCATTTCAGGCCAGAAATCAAATTAAATACAACAAAAGCCACAACCAAATTAACCCTCATTCTTCAAGTCCCACAGATTTTCTGGTCTGTCCCTGATTTCATCTTCACATCCAGGGACCATGCAAAGCTATAAGGAGCCAAAATACTTTCGATGCTTTTCTAGAGTTGATGAGATGTCAGCAATGTTTCCCAAAATGGGAATGGATTGAGGTCGAATCCAGTCTCTATACCATCTAATATTCCAATGGGAAAAAATTATCTACCTTGCTTTGGAACCAAAGGTCAAATTCTAGAGATACATTCTACATCAAATCTCTGAATAAATATAAAAGGCAGGACCAGCAGTTGGTATAATGGCTATATCACTGGACTCCCACGTAGTCAACCGCAGTTCGAGTCCAGGACCCGGTGGCTTAAACTCACGCCGGGTACATGTGCGTGCGTGCCCAAGATCTCCGAGAGGAGAATGGAGGAGAAGGGATTGTGTCATGGGCATCCCCCCGGGGGGTGATTTCTCACTTTCTGTCTCTCTGTCTTTCTGGCGAGCACACGTGCCCTATAGCAAAAAAAACTCTCCAAAAATAAATAAATAAATAAAAGGCAAGGACTCTGAAGAAGGGACAGCATATATAGGCTTCTCTCCATTACTAACTTTTTCTTTGACCCCCCAAATACTTTTTTACCCCTAAATGTCTTTCCTTTCTCATTCATTTCTCGCAGTTAATGATTTTCCCTAAATTGAAGTTAGGAAGATAAGAAGAAACAAAACTGTTTAGGTAGTTTGGCATTTGCTTTTCAGACATCAGCTGGTTTTGCTATTATCTTTTTTCCAAAAATTATTTATCAGGTTTGCATGAGGAGTTTTACAACCAAAATTTGTTGACACAATGGTAAGAACAAAAAGACACAGCTTTAAAATCTCCTTTCCTTTTCCTGAGATTGCAATTCCAATGAACTCATCATCTTTTACTTAAAAAAAAAAAAAAAAAGAAAAGAAAGAAAAGAAATTCCTAGAAGTTTGCTTCAAGCTTCCTGTTTTTCCCAAATCTTCTGCTCCTTGCAAATCTCTGACTACACTTGAACTCACACTTCAATGCCACTGATTCAGCTTCATGGTAGTCTTATTCTGTACCATGATATTGGTGAATAAAGAAGTCAGCAGTCCCTGGAAAGGGGCCAGAAGAAATTAGGCCAAAAGATTAAGGCTCGGACCCCAATTTCAACAGAGATATAGGAAGAATTGAGTTTCTCTATCAGTGTCAAGTAAATAGGCAACAGCCAGATAAGTGGGGAGATAGGTAAGCGCTAAAGCCCGATGTTCATGAAGATTCCCAGGGGCCAAAATCAGTCCCAAAGGCATGGCACACACACTGGGCTATTTCTAACATTTCCACCTGCTACCAGAGACTGGTTCTCATTGGGCCAGGCCACGTCGGCATTGAGACCAACACCTATACTGATACTATTAAATGCAGATTGGATGGAGTTGGGGCAGACAAGGGTTTTCCATGGCCTCTCTAACAGGAACTTACAGACTCCTTCATTTCACCCATTTCTTGTCTGAGAGCCAAGCAGATCCTATTTCACATGGGTCTAACTCAAGTTTCAATAGGTTAAGCTACTTTCTAGAAGTCAGAAATTGAGGAGAAATAAAATCTGGTACCTACAAGTGATACATAATCTTGTGCTCTTCCCGCTGTGACCTCACTGCTGGGATTTCTTTCTGACACCTCAGTAGCTAAAAGGGTTGAGCAGCAGGGATCAGGAGCTCTCTTTCACTGTGTAAAGCTGTATAACTTCTAGTATTATTCATCAAAACAGGAAGCGGGTATTCCCGAACTGCAGCTCAAGCCTGGTAGTCAGCAAAGGTAGTATAATATTTTATGCCCCAAGGTGTTATTTCTTTTGCAAGGCAAGAGGGCATTAAACGGGCAAAAGGAAGGAAAAATAAACAATCGTTGAGTAGTTTTGAGACAGGAGTTGGACTCCATTTATAAATAGATAAAGCAGTTTTCTCTCTCCCAGGAGGACCACTGTTTTGTGACTCGCCATTTTTTCTTTTTTTCAGTCAAAACAAGTCCGGAGGGACCAGCGCTTAGCATAATGGCTATGTCGCTGGACTCCCACATAGTCGACCACAGTTTGAGTCCTGGACCCGGTGGCTTAAATTCACACTGGGCGCGTGTGCGTTCATGTCCAAGATCCTGAGAGGAGAATGGAGGAGAAGGGATTGGCGTGGCCAGTCCCTCTGGGGGGTGATTTCTCGCTTTCTGTCTCTGTCTCTGTCTTTCTGGTGAGCGCCTGTGCCCTATAGCAAAAACCTCTCCAAAAAAAAAAAGTCTGAACAAAGCCCTTCCTGACCCAGATAAAAACCCCTCACCACAGCCCTTTGGCAACTCATTTTCAGACCCCTCCCCTCCTTGGGAGCTCTGTTTTTCCTTCCCTCTCCTTCCATAAACTCTCCGCTTTGTTGTACCCACTCTGTGTCGGTGAATCTAAGTCTTCCTAAGCATGGGACAAGAACTAGTGTCTCACTGTGAGTGTGGGCCCGATCACCCCTGAGCCCTTGCGCCCCTGCGTTTCTGCATCATTTTGCTCATATGTATACATATGTGTACTCACATGTTTTTAACAAAATTCTCTAGATCGAATGACAGTTTTTAAACATTCAGGCATATGTCAAACTTTTAAGGTTCTAAAAACATTTCTTTTGGAATCATACCACCCCCAGAAAACTGACTTGAAAACTTATTTGGCGGGCTGGCAGGTGGTGTGGTGATTAAGATGCTGCTGGACTCTCCCATGGCTGACCACAGTTCAAGTCCCAGACCTGGCGGCTTGCTCTCTCTCTCTCTCCCTTTCTCTCTGTCTCTCTCTGGACAAATTGAAGAATAATAGTAATAAATATAATTAAATGAATCGTTCCTTTGAAAAAGGAAAGTTATTTGGCAGAGTAGGCATATTACACAGAACAGCAGTATTCAATAAAGAACACACTCTGTGAGACAAAGGGCATCAAGATGGCTTCCTTTCCCCCAGATCCAGTTCTTGTTTTGCTAAAACCAGTTTCTGATCTCGGAATTCCCATCCACACTACCAGAGACCCAATAGCAGGAGACCAGAGCTGATTCTCAGGAAACGCACTTACGCTGGGAACCAAGAGTTTGCAACAACAGAGGCTAGTCCTCAGATGCCTGAATTCACAATAAACACAGAAACCAACAAGGCCAGACTGCTTTCCCTCACTAACGCACATTCACTGATTCCGGACCTCAGCGCTAAGCGAGATGCTGGCGTACAAACGTGAGTTACATACTCTCTCCTGTAGCTCACATCCGAGCTAGAGTTTGAGAAGCTAAAACCCAGTAAGGATAGTGTGAGAACAGGACACGTGATAGAGGAAATCGCTGGCAGCTAAGAGAGCTCAGAGGAGAGAACAAATAATCATACCTGTGTCCTGAAAAGGGAGAGCACCTTCAGGCGGAGATGGTTTAG